GAGAGAGAGAGAGAGAGAGAGAGAGAGAGAGAGAGAGAGAGAGAGAGAGAATTACACAATCATCCCCTTTGACAATTCTACAACAGAAAAACAATCCACTGGTGTTTTCTTTTGATTTTTTTTTCAGTAAAACTTCTGCTCATCACTTGTTTTGATCATTAGATCCACCAGAAGCACCGCAGAACCTCAGCTGTCAGACAAACCTCACCAGCCCAAACACCATGACGTGTAGGTGGGACCCAGGTCTGCAGGAGACCCACCTCCCTACAAGCTACTCCCTCCACACTGAGATACGGTACAAATGAAAACACACAAAAAATTGCAAAAAAAAAAAAACAGTCAGTTGTGAAGAATATTGCATGAATGTAGTGCTAAATAATGTATTTGCATGAGGCATGCATCACAACTGTGTTTTTGTATGTACTTTTTCAGGGATCTTAACATGAACTATACGTATAAACTCCCACCAGGAATCCATCACTACACCATCCTTCGCTCGGACTTTTCACTCTTCTCTAATATGAGCATATATGTGAAGGCTGAGAATGACCTTGGAGAGGCAACTTCAAAACCTATCATTTTGGAACCAATCAGTGCGGGTGAGAATTTATGGAAAATAAAAAAATAAACTGGTTTTGAACAAACCATTGCTTAAAGGTTTGAGTTTTACTCTCTGCCCCCATCACATTTATTGCTGTAACATTTAAAGGAGACATACATGAAAAATCCACTTTTTTAAAATGCATTTTGTTACTTTTAGCCTATAGGAGTGCAGAAAAGTTGATTTTAGTCTCTCCTGGTGCTGCGTAGACAGCTTTATATTCTGTTTGGGTCATATTTTTCAACTTGTTAGGTTTTATCTCATTTCTGTGACATTTTCTGAATGATTATGTCACAGAATTTGCAATGGAACTTCTAAACAAGGTGGATTTACCAACAACAATTTCACCGTTTTACTTCTCCTCTCGCTCTGGGCAGTGGCGGATCTAGGCTTTTTCTGAATAAGGGGCCATCAAGGGGCCAAGTTTTTATTTAACATCTTTGCACACAAATCTCTGATTTTGATAAGATGTATACATTTAAATAGTTATAAATGTTCAAACACTTGTAATGTAATTTAAAAAWWTYTTGCATGTATRTTCTCYTTACAAGTTTTACATGTATTTTTACTGTACATAGATCAAAAACACTCAAACACACAGCATCTGACTCATTAGCACCTCTAGTGTTTGAACATGGAACTACACCCTCCATCGTTACTCTTGGGCAAAGGACAGATGAGTGACAGGACAGGAGCACTTCAGGGGGCCAATCAGATTTCAGCTTGGGCCAATGCCCTTGTTAGAACCGCCCCTGGCTCTGGGTCAGGCACAAATGTGAATTTGTATAATAATAAATAGCACAACAGTTATCTGATCTAAAAAGTATAGCTTAAAAGAAAATGAAAAAAATATTGTAGACTACGAAAAAATACTAAAAATTGCACTAAATATGTATGTCAGCATGAATTTGAAGAACTATTATTACCATTTTTTATTGAGATGATTAGATACTCTTATGGGGATGTTTAGCACATTACAAGATATTCCTGTTTATTATTCAGAAATCACCTCTTATTTCTGTAAAAGCTTCTCTCTGCGGTTAAAACAAAAAAGTAATCATRGTGACACAAACTCTGATCCTAACAGCAACATTAAAAATTAAAATAGTTTTGGTAAGAATCCAATTTTGAGCTTTACTTGCTTTATCTGTTTTTATACCAGCTAAGTTTGACCCACCTGAGATAGAGAAGATTGAAGCGGAGAGTAAGAGGTTTGGCTGCTTGAAGCTGAGGTGGAAGGTATCCAGGCACCAGGCATGGATGTATTATGACAAATTACACCTGGACGTTCGAATCAGAGCTGCTGGAAACAACCAGTGGAGTGACCCTGTAGGTCCAAACCAATTCATTAATACTTTCAAGTGACATCATGCAGAGTATTAAAGACAAACCTGAAGTCTGCAATGTGTGTTAGTAGTTATCTCTGCATTTTTTTGTGCTAGATCCTTTGGACCCAAGTTAGCCCACACAGAGCTGTGAAACTGTCTCATCTTCTTCATGGGACCGAGTACTTGGCCCAGATCAGAGTCCAATACCTGCAGAGCCCCTGGAGTGAGTGGAGCAGTAGCAAGTCTGGAGTCACCTTGGAAATCGGTACAGCTCAGATCAGTTCAGACTGACTCAACTCACGCTAACACTTTCAAACCTGCGGCCTTTTCTTTTCTTTCCCCTTTTTTTAAATAGGCAAATGTCATCTTCTGTATCTTCCATTACCTAGCTTTGAAACACAGGCTGAACTAAAGTATTGAGTTTTGTTGCATCCTCTGACAGCAAATCTATAGAAGTGCATTTTTTTAAGCTTTGTTTTCTGAACCCTGCTTTCATTTCGTTTCAGCTCCTTCTGGACATCTAAACACGTGGATGAAGGTTTCAAGAAATCACACATCCAAAAAATCCAACATAGAGTTGTTCTGGAAGGTAATCACTGATTGATGTATTGTCCTTGCACTTGTTCAGTTGAACTGTTGGGAGGTATCCTTTTGAATATGTTTCATTGTTCTTTCTTTTTAATTGTAGCCAACAAAACAATTCCGCACCAACAGCCAAAAAGTCTGGTACGTTGTCTCAGTACGAAAACTGGATGCTGGAAAAGGAAAAGTGTGCTCCACAAACATGAGTTACTGTACTTTCCAGCTCCCAATAAGAGTGAAGAAGGTCTATTTGAGGGCTGTGAATAGAGCAGGGAAATCTCCCCCCAACGCAATTTGGATCTACCAACCTAAAGGTAAATGGGATCTTTAAAAAAATACATGGTTTGGAAAATAATTCAGGTATTTAATGTAACTCATGTTTTTTTATAAATATATATCTGTAGCTGAAACAGGAATACTAGATGTTGCAGCCGTTCCTCGTGATAACAGATCCCTTTTGATCCAGTGGTCCAGTGTGGTTCCATCAGGCCTCAATGGATATGTGGTGGAATGGGGGCCTTTATTAAAACCAGACATCTCTCACATCCAATTTGAAATTTTGGAACAAAATCAATCAAGCCTTGTCATAACAGGTACGGCACGATCTGCATCGCATTTTGCAGTTCTAAGAAGAAGTCAAACAATAACTGTTTGGCAGGACTTGCCCTGTGCAGAAACTGTCTGTACACGTTGTTCCCGTCTAACCTCTTCACGCTCATCAACAGGCAGCTTGGAGCCCTACAAGCCCTACAGGATCTCTGTGTATCCCAGGTTTAAGGATGGGGTTGGTCCTCCTCAGACTGTTAATGCCTACTTGAGAGAAAAGGGTAAGTCACTGTAGACACGAAGAGGATTACGCAAAGAGCAAACCGAGGTGCCGGAGTCACGACGCCTCCCCTTTAAAGTATGGGGAAAGCATTGGCATAAATTATTTTCTACAAACTGTGTAAACTCTCAGCAAACACATTAAATGTGAGGAAATGTCACCCTCTTGTGGAGATAAAAAAAAACTTTTTTTTACTTTCCTGCTTGAGTAAAGACATCTGCACTGATATGAAAAATATTTTCTTTTAAAAGCTCCATCTATGGTTCCTAATATACAAATTAGAAAAATGTGGGGGTCACGTGTTGAGTTCACCTGGGATGAAATACCTTTAGAGGAGAGGAATGGAATTATCAAGGACTACAGATTCTTCTACTGGTACGACAAAGGACCTGTAAAAGGTAAGTTGTTGGTAAGTTGTGTTCTTGTACTCGATGTTCTCTGATGTCGGACTTTTCTATCAGTTGTGATTGCAGATCCAGAAGAGAGGAAGGTGCTCCTGGAAAATCTCCACTCTGATCGTTTATATGAAGCTTTTATGACGGTCAGCACGTTTGGCGGGAGCCTGAACGGGTCAACAATTCATTTCCAGAGCGAGTCCTTTGGTTGGTACCGATTTGGCAATGTGAAAGGATCAGAACATGTCAAACAAGAATTAACATCATGGCATTTCTTGTTTTTCCAGACGTAACTGTTACAGCGATTCTACTAGTAACTATCACTGGGCCAATTCTGCTGATATTTATCATCTACATGACTTGTTTCTCCAAAAACAAAAGGTAATTTTTTCACTATGTTGTATAAAACTGCAACATTGTTTATCACTGAACTTTTTTTTCTGTTTCTCCATCTAAAGGCTGAAAGGAAACATTTGGCCAGCTGTTCCAGATCCAGCCAACAGCAGCATTAAAATATGGACATCAGAATCCACTCAGGTATGACAATTTGACATCTGCTACAGATAGATGAAGTTGCAATATTCAGTTAATATGTGTATCTTGAAAAATGCCTCAAAATGAGTAAAGATTTTCAAACTGTAAAGCARCATTTTGCTATATCTTTGTTCAACATTTGGTGTTTTGGCACATTAATGTTTCTTTATTGTTTCAGTCTATAACAGAGGTGTCATATAATAAAATGCAAGTACTTTTTTATTTTACTTAAGTAGAAATTTTAGTTATCTTTACTTTTAAGTACCTTACTGGAATAATTATGTTTCAGACAACCTTTTACTTCTACTTCTTACATTTTCATGCAGTTATCTGTACTTTCCACTCCTTAGATATTTACCAATGCAAAAAAAAAGTATTTGATTTCTATTTGACTTTGATTTGTTTTTGTTCTGGCTTGTCATTATTTATGAGAAAAGAAAATGTTATGTATGTATCCAGATGAGATACAGTTAATTTGACTGGGGTTGGACAAAAAGTATAAATATATACCATTCTGATACCCTATTGGTTTGGTTCCATCATACTTACACATGACACAAACCACGTCACGCTCCAGCATGACATAGCAGAAATACTGTTTGTAGCCTAGTAAGAAGATGACTGAGGCAGAGATACTGTATACAGTATATGCAACCCATTCTCACTCCCAAGTCGTCACATAGTGACGCTTTGGCAAGATTCCCTCTACGTCCGATTGTGACGCGCAGGGTACCCCCGTCACGTCAGTTACTGACGAGATGGGGCRGAAGCTGTTGTCATATTTTCAGAAAGTGTATAAAATGCGCAAAAACGACCGTTCCAAAGCCTGAAATTACCTTTGTTCACTGTAGACATCCTGTCCCTGACCGTAGTAGCTAAAATYAACCATTTTTAGAAAATGTACGAAATTCACGTGAACATGTTCTGAAGCCTAAAATGACCTAATATTCACTATGGACATCCTACCCCTGATCCCAGTACCTAAACTTAACCATTAATCCTGATCCCTCATGTTAACGTCAGACCCCCGACGCAAAGACCCCTGGTGGCGCAACCCGGAAAAGCCGCGGGCGTCAAGGACTGACGCGAGGGGGTTACCTGATGCATCCAAATAAGACGCAGAGGGAACCTTACCTTAAGCGTCAATATGTGACGACTTGGGAGTGAGAATGTGTAGGTATATGCTGCTGAAACAGGTAGCCTAGTGCATCCCAGTTATTTCAACATTAACATTCTATTATATTTTATTGTCATTATGGCCTTTAGAATTTTTTTTTATTTTTGGGTGGTGGATTGTGCAGATACAAGCAGTGGAAATGAGTTTTCTCTGCAGGGTAGCTGGACTCTCCCTTAGAGATAGGGTGAGGAGTTCAGTTATCCGGGAGGGACTCAGAGTAGAGCCGCTGCTCCTCCACGTCGAGAGGAGTCAGTTGAGGTGGCTCGAGCATCTGGTAAGGATGCCTCCTGGACGCCTCCCTAGGGAGGTGCTTCAGGCATGTCCAACTGGGAGGAGAYCCCGAGGAAGACCCAGGACACGCTGGAGAGACTATGTCTCTCAGCTGGTCTGGRAACACCTTGGAGTCCTCCCAGAAAAGCTGGAAGAGGTGGCCGGGGAAAGAGAGGTCTGGGCTTCCCTGCTCAAGCTGCTGCCCCCGCGACCCGCCCTCGGATAAAGTGAAGATGATGGATGGATGGATGGATGGATGGATGGATGGATGGATGGATGGATGGATGGATGGATGGATGGATGGATGGATGGATGGATGGGTTGTGCAGTATAGGCCCCTGTGGCAGGGCCTATAGCTTTAATCCTTGATGTTTTTTTTCTTTACATTAATTTTACTTTTATACTTTAAATAGTTTTAAAACCAGTTTTCCACTTTTATCTGAGTAAAAAGCTTGGGTTGATACTTCTACTTCCAAAAACATATTTTTAAACCATAGTTTCTATTCTTCTACATTTAAGTAATGAATGTAAAAACTTTTGATAGTTCTAGTCCAAAACCATTGTAAACTATGCAGTGATATAGAGTTTGGATGTTAAAAATTGCTAATTAAAAATGACTTTTTTTCTTTTTGCAGTTTATTCATCTTTCCTGGGACAAAGAAGAGCCAAATCCAATTTACTTGTCCCACCTCAGTTTCCTGGAACTGACCACCAAGCTGAGCCAAGAAAAGGATGAAAACTGGTTTAAAAATGCAGAGAACACCAGTGATCTTGGAGAGTCCGTTTGTGAATCACCGTTCATCCCTGGATACTCTGGTTCAAACAGCGACTCTGTCCCTTACGCTACGGTGTTGTTCTCGAGTCCAGGCAACAGCCCGCTCCCTAAGGAGCCTCATGTCTATCTGCGCTCAGAATCCACACAGCCCCTCCTGGAAGCAGAAGAATCCTTCAGTCCAAAATGCTACCAGAATGTGGGAACCGCTGGGACGTCGAGGGAGCAGTGTTTTTTTGGACCATGTGATGATTGTGTACCAGAAACAGAGGAAGATCCAGATATCGTTTGGAATGACTTTCCTTTTCTCCGAGCTTTAGAGATGACYGATACTGAAAACAACTGAAATCATTGTGCTGATTAGGACAGTAACTGGTTTTRAGYTTTCTTAAAAATTTGTAAATTTGATCAAAGTCAAACRTGCAATCAGTTTAAATGYAATGATTTTGATGACCATGCTTCATTGTTTTCATGCTCTGTATATGCAATTAAAAAAATTAACCTTTATTTGTGTGTGTGTGTGTGTGTGTGTGTGTGTGTGTGTGTGTGTGTGTGTGTG